GCATTGAGACCCTTTGTTGATATCAATGGAATTACAAAAATATGAATTAAGAGAAAAATAAAATACAAAATACAATAAATATGTATCTCGGATGGTGCTTGTGGTTTGGATGACATCATAATGAAAATTTATTGATCAAATAGCCAATAAAATTGATCTTCGTACCATCCGTGACACTATACTTTAAGGAATACACTACCGTTAGAACGGCAACAACGCACGCTACTGTTGTTATCCAATCAAATGTGGCTAATTATTTGATGAACAGAATTAACGTTAAAGACACTAAATCTATTGCAACAGCGGATATTAAGAATCACATACCGGCTTGTGCTACTAGAACACTGTAAAATACAAAGTCTCCCAATCCCAATTTCAACCCATTTCTTTCATCTAAATATTAAAAAAATTAGACTTGTGAAACATATATATATATTCAATAAATTTGAAATATTGATAAAAACCTTCTTCTTCGTCGGGTGACATACTATTTTCAGGGGGATTCACGTTAGTTTGGAGCGAATCAGATGAATTATTAGCCCCAATGTTATTGTGAGTTTCAGCGTCAGCATCTCTACTATAAGAATTATGGCCTACATTTTCTGATAAAGGTATATCTTCACCAGGTGGAATAAAAGTAGGAGATATCTTTGCGGAGGATGTAGAATTTACCGATGAAATAAATGATGATGGAGAAGAATCAGTGTGTGCAGATAATCTGCTAGGCGGAATTTGAGTTGAAATTTTAGGTGCGGCCATCAGCCAAATAGCATTAACTGATAAAAATTTATTAGAAAAATAAACATCGATTAGTTTACATGAAATATATTAAATATAATATAGGTTTGATTACAAAATAGTATTGCGGACCAGAATGAAATAATTTCATCAGAATGAAATAATTTCGCCAGAATGAAATAATCTCACCAGAATGAAATAATCTCACCAGAATGAAATAATCTCACCAGAATAAAATAATTTCACCAGAATGAAATAATTTATTCACTAAGGCAAAACATTCTAGTTTAGCCCTTAACAACATAAGCGGGAACATAAGTGGGCGAAACCACTTTTCAAATTCGAAATATTTCACAGTTAAAATAATTTCACAAAGGTGAAAAATTTCATCTAGTCCGCAATATTAATCCTAAATAAAGTGTACCAGAATATAATAATGCCGGAATTTCACGTTGATTCTTCTTTGATGATTCGACAAGAATACGTAAAGGTCCAAATGGACATAGTACAGCAATCAGATCTTTGATTATTAGAAATTCAAAGTCAATTAATATGATATAAACATTACAAATCATTTTATAGTTAAGAATGATTGTCAGGTATATTACCCCAAATAGCCAACAGGCCTAACAAAATCCACGTAGTGTATGGTGATAGACCAGTAAGAGAAAATGCCTATATAATTCATATATATTCATATCTATATCAGCTGCAAATGTTATGAGAGATTTTCTGAAATATAACAAAAAAATAGCCACCATCAAACTCGACATAATCGTCAAATATGCTTGCTGTAACAACAGAGGGCCTTTCCAGAAAACAGATATAAGGCCCACCGCAGTAAAATTCCATAGGGCAAATACGAGGGTAATATAATCTAATGGTAAAGAAAGGATCGTTATAATATTCCTATGAAAAGAATAATTGATGAGAATACTGCTTATGAAGAAATTCATCTTGCATTTAAAAATAAATACATACAATATCAAAAGATATGACATAAACGCGAGAGGAAAAAGCACCACAAACATAAAGAACCCTACAAGGATCTGAACACGTACGAGTTAGTATATATATATATATATATATATATAACTGATAAATAAATAACTCACTTTTGTAAATCCGTATTTAAATAGAAATACGATGACAACTGTGGCCACAATAATTTGTCCAATAAGGATTGCTGCAACATAAATAGAGGAGGAGAGTGACGATAAATTATCACTTGAATTGTTAGGCACTTGGTTACTACTTCTATAAAAAAGTAATTGGTAATTAATAGATGCAACAAAAGTTCTAAATCATATATAAACAGCCTTTTCGTCACCTCACCCAATCTCAAGATAGGATGGTGCTTTTGATAATTTTACCCAGAGGATAGATAGTACAATACATAGGACTACGGGTTTAATAATTTTGTAGACTTGTTGCATATAGAATCTGAATTCATCGGTTTGCTCAGCATCAATTACCGGAGATTGATCGTTGGAATCAGGCTATCATTGGTTAATGACAAATAAATAGAATTTGATACAATTCTTATGAAAAAAAATCGCATACAAACTATACTTACCAGTCTTACAGATGTGGAAGACGTAAGTGCATCTGGGTTCGAACGTCGATCTAAATTTTAAAAGAATTTAATATGAAGTTATAACATTAAGAAATAAAAAAATATATATACTTACTTTTAAGGTTGATAAGTTGAGCAACGTTTCCTCTACTGTAAACTTTACTACTCGATCTTCTAAGGATTCTTGAATTTCTTACATTGCCATGTTCCTCAGATTCCGTCTCTGAAAGTGCACTCGCACATACAGAAGAGTGACCCTTTTCCCAATGACTAGTCTGGCATTTCGGGGAACAATAACGAGGACCTGTTTGTCCACATGCCTCGCATAAATATTTTGCTGAACTCCCACAATTTGCACATACTGAATTCACTAAGACAGCCTGCTCAAGATCAGCCGACGATTCTTGTGAGGCCATCATGACTTATTACCTCAAAATAACTTTTATATAATAGTTTCTGGTAGAGTAAGGATGATTGTTTAACAAAGTATATCGAATATACGTACATAATAAGCATTTTTTTTGTGGAATAGCAATGATACGGGCAAATTTAAAGTTATGTTATACATATTCTATAATTAGTCATAATTTAATTAATTTCGTATCCGAGTTTTATCCCGTTTTTTATACCATTTATACCGATGGTAATTTATTGTTATGCAGCATTGTATTACTGTATTATTGTAATGCATTATCGTAATGTAGGTCAATATTAATAACCCCGCCCTTTTTCACTCAAACATATATGGGTAATTATTTTTGAACCCGGACCAATTTTATATATGACGTAATAACATTTTGGTCTGAATTCAAATTTTGTCCCTAATTTCTATTCTCTGCAGTTTCTATTGGTCGCAGGAAAATTAGTAACTAAAAATAATAAAGTCAGTCGTATTACTGTATTAGATAAATTGATCTAAAAATAGATGCTAACATAATTTACAAAATCTGGTTTATCATTCTATGTATTAGACTCGTTATTAAGAACATCGGGAGTGCAGAATCGATTTTACTAAGGTAATACAATACGTATGTATAAGAAACATTAAAACATGCATCGTACGTTTTGAAAAAAAAGAGAATTTATACGTATTAATTTAAAAATTAATTTAGTAAACTACTTTTTTAGTTTTTAACAAAAATATATATATATATATATAGTACAATTTTGGTATCTAATACTAAATAAAAGTTCACTACGTACGTAGTATGTATAGCATACGTACAGTACATATATAGGGGTTTCATTCAAAATTAACAAATAAATAACGCATTTTAAAAATAAATAGGATTTTTCAAATAGTAAGGGAGAGTCGGGTATTATGACGCACTTAAGGATTGCACATATAAAATTTTTTGGAAAAGGCATATTTATTCACAAAATCTAGCGAAATAAAATAACAATCGATTTGCTATTTAATGGTATAAAAAAAAAATCAAATTAAAAATAAAAAACCTTCGACATTCGAACTTTTAAATCTAGCTATGTTTTTTAGGATGGGGGGTATTATGATGCACGTCGGAAATTATTAAATTACTGGATATAGCAAAGATTAACAATTTCATTTATTTTTTGTAACCGTTCTTTTTTTTTGCTCTCTTTCGGCTTTTTTTCGTGCTTTTTCTGCTTCACGAATAGCTTGTTTCTGAGCTGCTTCCTCTTTTCTTTTTTATTGCACTTTGCTTTTGGCATTTTGGTTTGTTTATTTTTTTTTTAATTGCAAAATTACAGCAATTTATATT